AATTGGATTTTTTAATGTGATGGCTTTTAATTTACGTGATAAGCATCCCTTAATTTCGTTATAACATACACAACTATTTAGATAGACTTGTCTAGAACATTTTGGCAATTATTTTATCAGGCTTATCAATAATTTATCTAGGCCCAAAACTCATGCTTAGCATAATTAATTTAATCATCCATAATTAATTCATGATTAAAAATTTTGCACATCTAGGTAGATTAAGATGAGGTAAGAAGTAGAGTCTATGATAAGTAGGCCTCACTAGGCCTTTTCATTTCACTTATTCATGCTCTTAAAGGGCTTTTCTACCCGAGAATTACTGACCCTCAAAAAGCTACCTATATTAAAATATAAATATAACTATATAATACAAATATAAATATAAGTATCAAATAAGAGATCAAGACGAAATAAGGTGAATACATTAAATATAAGTGATTTACAAGTAGTCGCGAAATTCTAATTCTATATTAAAAATAATAATTTAGGGACTAAAGCTGCCTCTTGAATTAAGCATTCATCACATTTCGACATGCAAATATTTTACCGAACTGTTGACTAATACGAAACGAGAGGTAAGCCTGGTGTTTGATTGAAGATATGAAGAGCAATATGTTGTGGCCTCTGCTATGATCGAAGTCTCCTTTCGATTTATAGAAATGGGTTGATCTCGTTATCACAACTTGATTTTGTTGTGAATGGGACTTGGGAGAACGCAGCAAAACCGAAGTAGTCTGCCATAGTAGTTGTCATGATTCCCAGCATCAGACAGCGGACTTTTTACATTCTCAAACGTTTCGCCGGCATAGTAGTCGGCACCATCAGTGAGTTTTTCCATTCTCCGTATCAAGCTACGAACTCGTCAAAGATACAGGTGAAGTCAATCCCTCCACCAACGTTCTGCCGAAAACGGTTACACTATCACTCCTCTTTCTGTTCTGGCCAATTTATATACTCTTTACCCTTTTATTCCACTGCCGCCCTATCACAACTTCTGAATTGTTTACATTCCACTCGTCAAAATGTGTGCCCTTCTGTGGTAAATCTAGTTTGCCCTT